CCGGGTTCCTCAATCATCGCCGTCAGTGCGAGGTGCTGCGGGAGGGTGGGGTGGCCCTGCAGCTGCGGAAGGCTCCTGATGTCAAGACGAAAACAGGACCTAATTTTCTAAAGAAACCCTGATTTTTAAGTAGCGGTCTCGGTGCATGTGCCCCTCTGCAACACTCTGCAACACTCTGCAACTCTCCTTATTCGTGTGGTATCTGTTATATCGGCCCCACCCCAGCAGAAAATGGGTCTCTGAAAAAAGGAATGCTTTTCTGAGAAGAAGCGCTCAGGATGTGCCAGGTCTGAGGCTGTTCCCCGTTTAGATGGGAAACAAAAAGCAAGAGAGATGGGATGTTCGCGGGTGGGCGAGGACAGCCAAGGTGTGCGGTTCTTGCTCTCTAATTCAACTTCCTTAGAAAACTTTGCGCTCCGGTAAGCAGCAGCGGCTGCCACAGAGCAGCTTTTCTCCCCTTAGCAGGGGTTAACAGCCCTTTGGGAAGGATCCTCATGCACAGACCTTGCTGATGTCTCCCCATGTACAGGTAGGGCGGGACAGCCAGCCACCCTTTTGGGGGTTTCATCCGGTCAAGCTGTTTGTGGTCAAGTTATTTTGAGAGGGTTGAGGAGAGGCAGCGTATGCAATGGAGCGAGACAGCGCAGCTGCCAGGGATCTGAACGCTGAGAAATGAAGAAGGGAAGATGGTTTAGTTTGTATTAAAACCAACTGATAATCGGTAGGAGCCTGTCCAGAAGGCATCATGTGTTTTCACCAAAGGATGCCTAAAGATCTGTATCTCCTTTCTTTGCAACTAGAGCTTGTAAAAACTATCCTTCAACCTTTCCAGAGCTCTGCTGGATTTAAAAATAGTGTATTGGGCATAAAAATGCCTCGGCGAGTAATGCTTAAAAACAGTGAAAGATGAGACGGCTCCTGGGACTGACATTGATAAAGGAACAAAAGAGGCTCCAGCCTGTAACTCAAAGAAACCTCAGGCTGTTGTGGTTTAGTCTCTGGGCGTTCCCCTGCACACCTTAGCTGTGCCTTGATTGCACCTTACTGCGGCTTTCCTCTGACCTGGTAGGAAAAATTGTTGCTATTGTTTGTAGCTGGGGCCAGGCCCATCTAGTGTCCTTCCCCTTCTTTCCCAATAAATAAACTGTTGTGGTGAGACACTGGTGCAAAGGAGAGGAGACTGGCAGGCAAGCAAGGAGAGCATCAGGAAGAATGGAATAACTGAAATACAGGTATCAGGGAACCGAGAGGAAGGAAAGTGAATTAAATCACAGTTTCCCCGTGATCTGTGCCCCGTGGCATCAGCGTTTGCTTTTGGTCAGTGGATTTAAGATGGGTAATTTGGCTTACGGGAATGCTAGAGGTGCGTCCCATTCCTGCAGTGTGTGCACCTCCCACGCCGTGGGGAAGCGCTCCTGGTGCCTGTAGCTGGGTTAGCTGAGGATCCAGCTGCTCGGCAGATGGGTATGGGCGCACCGGCCCCCGAATGAGCACTCACTCGGGGATACGGTGCAGGTGACCTCGCTGCACTAGTACCCGTCGCTGCATGGTATGCAAGGACCAGGTGAGGGAACGTATACTCAGATCTGAGTTGGCAGGATAAACGTGTCCCCCCAGAAAAGCTCTTGGGCCCCTGGTAGGGTAGGCCTGAAGAAAATGGGTAGAACGAGAACGGATAGAAATCACACGATGTTCCAGGGACACCTGAGGACCTGGAATCTGCACACTGTGTGTAGGAAATCCCAGTGTCTTTTTGAAAGGGGGTGGGGGAGACGGGCCGTGAGCCAAGTGACAAGGGGAATAGTCACAAATCAGGTTTGCCAAGTACTGGGAAAACTAAAACCAGATGCCAGATATAACCAGATACCAGAGCATCTCCTCTGGCACAGAGATTCTCAGGTGACTCCCGTAGCGGGACGTGGCACGGGGTTAGACGTTAGAGAAGCTTATGAATACAGAGGTACACACATATGACTGAAGCCAGGGGCTGGAAAAGGCTGGCATGAACGAGTCACATAAAACAAGGCTTCTGGGACTGGGCTCAAATGTAATGAAGCACGCTGAGACCTCAGATGAACAGAGCACCTTCTGCTGTCAGGTTCACTCTGCCTGCCTTTTGGGGTGGGGGGCCTAAAAGATAGCTTAAAAGCAAACTCGAATCCCTGTTTGCTCTGATAAAGGATACGCAAAACCCACAGAAAAAGTTGATTTATAGATTTGTAATAAAGTACCCATGGCTTTATATGGAATCCTAGAAATTTATTTTCATCTGAGGACTAAAAAGAGAGTTGAATATAAATTACATTATCTTCCAGCAAAAAAAAAAAAAAAATCCCTTGCTTCCTCACTGTCCTTGTGGTTCATGTTTCTGATACCAAGATCCTTTTCCTCCAAGGCGCTCGGTGTTCACTCTGGGTTTGTACAGCACAGGTATCTCCAGGCACAACCTTAGAGCTGATAGAGCCCCGAGTTGACGGGCGCCGTTGGTATGAAAGGACTCTTAACCATTCTGACCTTCGTTGAGAGGTTGTTCTGGTATGCAGGCAATAAGCAAGTAAGCTGACATCATAGGGCAAACCCCGTATTCACCCTGCGGCACTTTTTGATTGCTTATAAACTTAAACAAGACTGTATTTGTATAATCAAAACCAGGAACTTGAGGCCAGATGGTCCCCACAGGCTCCTCAGGTGTTTGCAGACAGATCCTGAGCATCACTGCCAAGTAAAACTTCTCATTTCCCTCTTCAGGGCAGCACAGGACGGAGGAATTCCGGAAGGTGAACGTCCTGATGAAGGTGCCCGCGCTAAGGGATGGTTCTTTCACTTTAGCAGAGAGGTGAGGCTCAAATAAGCTCAAACCCCTCCTGCAGTATTGTTTATCCTAATGCTTGGATTCTGCCAGTGCACTGTTTGGTCTCTACTGGGACTCCAGCCCAGGTACTTGCTCGCCTCCTTCCTATCTGTTCCACTTGTACATAAAATAAACCTATGTTTCAAGAGAAGCTTTCTCATGTAAGCAACTCAAACAGCGTTGCTCATGGAAAAATCTGTGAGCTGCTGCTTGGAGCTAGTTTGCATGTAGGCAACGTTTCTAAGCCAAAATACCTGTCCATGTGTCCTCCTGCTCTCTGCCTTCAGCTGGAGGCTGTAGGTCAGCGCAGTAAATCTGACGCAAGGCACCCGCTGCTGGATGGCCAGGCAATACAAAGCTCTGATTTGGTATAAACTCATTCTGTGGCTCATATTTGCTCAAAAAATGTTGATGGGGTAACTGTACCAGCAGGCCACGTCTGTCTCGCTGGGCTGATGAATCAGATAATTGCTGTCCACAAGCAGCCGGTCAAGCCAGCACAAACTCTCTAATGTGCTGTGCCTAGCTGACAATTGTGTGTCCTGCACTTCTGCCTGACTCGGATCAGGTTTGTATTGCTGCTGGTCCAGCAGTGCAAAGTTTGGGGAAAGAAGAAAGGATGAGGTGCTTTAATCTCAGCTGATCAGCTCACCGGTCTGCCTTGCTCTCTGGGCAGCATTGCAATCCTCCTGTACCTGGCCCGAAAATTCAAGACTCCTGATCACTGGTACCCATCTGACCTGCAGAAAAGGGCTAGGGTTGATGAGTACCTGTCGTGGCAGCACGTCAACATTCGTGGGAAGGGGAGCAAGCTGTTCTTAACTAAGGTAAGACCATTATATACTAAAAACTAAGTGCTAAGAGCTGCGAGTGCAATGGCCCAGGAAGTACCTCCTGTGTGCAGGGCCCTTCTAAGCAAATGAACAAGCCAGGTGACAGATAGGAACAAAACTAGATCTGGAATTGACTTGCCAGCTCAGCCGACGCTAACTGAAGAGGCCCGAATACTTCATGCTGCAGCCACAGCTCTGTGCGTGCACACTGAGCAAAATTCGTCCTGGGTGAGCAGCTAACACCAGACACAGCTCACTGCCTTCTGCCCAGCTTCATGGAAAGAACGAACCTCCCATTGGAAAACAAAATGCAGCTGCTTGCAGATGATGCAGCCTTCCCTTGAGAGGAGACTCTCGTGGTTGAAATTTCAGACTTTCTAGGGAGGGGGCAAGGACAGGCAGGAATTAATGACTGACATTAATGTTAATCTGCCAAAGGAGATCAGCAGTACCAGTTGTTCTCGTGCATGGCTGGTGAGGGATCCTTAGAAGAAGGCAGGGGGAGAGTGTGGACTAAGTTTGGAGGGAAATACGTAAAAAGCAACTTGTTTCTTCTCCCTGCCAGGTGCTGCTGCCTCTCCTCACAGGCCAGCCACTTCCTCCAGAGAAACTGGAAGGTGTTACTGAAGAGCTGAACGTTGTCCTGAAGCAGTTTGAGGAGAAGTTCTTGCAGGACAAGCCCTTCATCGCAGGCAGCGAGATCTCCCTGGCAGACCTTGTAGCACTGGTGGAGCTCATGCAGGTGAGCATCAACCCCAATGCTGTTGGATATGCAAGCTGGGCTGCGGGCAGGCCAGGCCAAGGTGTGGCTGCAGCACCACCACCTCCTTAATGGCAGACCTTTCTCCCTGCAGTTTATTCCTTAGTGGAGTTAAATCTTGTTCCTTTTTGACTTTGACCATAACTGAGTTTTCCAGGGAACACCTACTTTGAGACAGTTCTCTCTATAGAAGTATGGACAAAATTCCTCAGAAAAAAGATAAATTACATACTAGGCAGAGAAAGTACAGATATTTGGGAGAGATGTGTTGGTGTGCGTGGACCTCTGCGTTCTGCATTAGACAGTTCTTGGGTTAGCCGTGGCGGTGCTCTTTCGCTGCACATCCCAGGGGACAGCAGCTGCTGAGGATGACAACACTTGCTTCCTACTAGCTAAGAACCGGAGGTGAACTCCACCTAATGTGACGACTGTCTGCTGCCTTGAGCCAAAAGCATATCCGTGCTTCATTCTGGTCCCATCCCTGGTAAATGCGTTGTTTGACTCACTCCCGGGTTCTCTTGCTCTCTCTCTGCAGCCCGTCGGTGCTGGCTATGACCTCTTTGAGGAGAGGCCGAAGTTAGCAGAGTGGCGCAGGCGGGTGGAAGAAGCGGTGGGGAAGCAGCTCTTCCAGAAAGCCCATGAAGGGATCTTGAACGCCAAGAACTTGACCGCTGATAAGATTGCGCCCGAACTGCTGGAGCATTTCAAGCACCAGCTCCTAAAGCAGGCCAGCCAGAATTAGGGGGTTGTACCCTAAGTAAAATGGATTATTTTGTGCAGGCTTTTTGTAGTATTTCAGCATTTCCTCTAAAAATCATACAGAAATACCATTCCACAAAATGCACTTCAATCACAGCCTTTCTTCAACTTAGAAGGGAAGAAAACTACATCTTAAACAGACTGCAGTGAGCTGCTTTCCCCTCTTGTCCACTAGTTATGTGAGCTGTAGCCCTATAGGCTTTTCTTTCTTGCTCCACCACCACTGGATCTGCTTGAGGACAGAGGTGATTCAGTCCACGTGGGAACTGGGGCCAGTCAGAACTGCCCTTTCCGTCCCTGTTTTGAGTTTTCCAGGTCACAGCACCATAGAAGGGGCAAAGGTTTCCTGAGGGTGTGGCAGAGCAGATATGTCTGAAACAAGGAAAAGATCATTGAAAATGGCTTTCACTTTGCAACACGCTCAGTTGGAAGATTTTTGCTCTTTAGTAAAGAGATGGGTCAGGACCCAGCCCTTGGTGGGGACCCTGCCAGGACCCTTAGAGCACCTGGCCACTAGAGGCTGCTGCATCACCTGTGGGAGCAAAGGGACACAGCACCTAGGAGCAGAGGGGCTGTGCAGGTACCCAAGTGAGGCCTCCAGCTTCTGGGAAGGATGGGGTTAGTCCCATGAATAAAGATCCTCAACCGTAGACTCATGCCATGCTCTACAAAGAACAGCCTGCACAGCTGAGAAAAGCTGCTTTTCTAGGTGAAGCTGCTGCCAACCACACGGTCTCCCTCTGCAAACCGTATCGGTGCTCTTGTCCTTTCCCCAGAGCAGCTTTGTCAGCTCGACGGAAGCCATTCAAGCCAGGCTCTCTCCACTGAGGAGTGCTGCCGTGGCTGGGCCAGCATTGGTGGCAGAGGGAGCTGTGCTGGCCAGCCCCGGGGTGAGCGGAGTGCACAGTATGTGAGCTGAGTAACGCCTCAAATACAGTTAATGTTCCACTACTCTTCTGTCACATCAGATTCTCCAGTAAAGTTAATGGTTACACTTGCCACGTGTTGTAGCTCTGTTTGGGTTTGTAATCAGGATTTGGAAGGAAGCGGCCACAGGTTCATCCTCCCCACCTGTGCAGCACTCTTCCCAACCTCTCGCCTGTGTCCCTTTGTACCCCTCCTGCCTTCCTGTCCCTGTGAACTTCCATTTCCAGGTGCGAGCCATGAGGAGGGTGCCAGTTTGCAGAACTGTGTTTTTCCCTCCTTGTTAAGCTCTGGTTGTATCTGGAAGTCTGTTTGTCTCTGCTGGCTGGTTACACCATACAGAGAGACGGCTGCGTAGTAACGCTGGGTGTGAGACGTCAGTCATCTTAATGCAAGTCAAGTGACTACAGTGCTCAGAAAAGGTGAAAGTAGCTGCTCAAACCAGTCTCACGCATCCTTTCAGCTGGACGTACTGGTTTTGGAGAATGAGCCAGCTGCCTTTTCTGTGTTTGTTTCCTGAGTAAACCTGCCCTTTAGTTCAAAAGGGCACCATGAACCACAGCTTGCAATGCACGTCCCTGTGGACTGAGCTAAAGCAGCCAAGCAGGCCAGTCCCTTTTACTTTCCGTTCCTCCAACCTGCAGGAAATCAAATGTCAGCGGTGAAAAAGCAGATTTGCCCCAAAACTCCTTCCGTTTCAGTGCTGACGCAGGCAGAGGATATTTGTCTTCTTACCTGATTTTTTTATTGTTAAGTTTGTTCAGGAGAGCCTATTGCACTCCAGTTGGCAAACCAGTGACAGCAGCTTTCTTCTCGCCCCGAGAATGCTTGCATGGTTGGTGCCTGAGCAGCAACCCCTGTAGGTGCTGCACTGCTGCTCTGCTGTAGCAGCTTGCCTGCAGTGCTAAGACTAAAGAAAATGGCCTGTTTACACTGTACCGCTAACCACTTCCTTTCCTCTGTAGCCTGCAGCTTACCACAGCCACCAGCTGGGCTTCTGCGTACGACTGGAATAAAACTGGTTCTTCTTTGCTACCTCACCGTGGCTGCCCAAACTCGCTGCGCTCTCTCCTGTTAGCACGTTGTACTTTGCCTAACTTCCAGATTCCTGACCTCCAACTTCTCCCTTTTTTGTAGAGAGCAAGCCTCCTCCTACCAGCACAACAAATTCCTCACGCAGCTTCTGTTCAAGTAGAAGCAGAGCAGAGAAGCCATCAAAACCAAGAGCCTTAATCTATAGAGTGCTAATCTTGATAGACCTCAAAATGGGCTTGGTAGCAGAGCCCTTCTTGATACACATCTCCCTGCAGAATCTCAAGATAGGGCTGCTGTGCATGCAAAATCATAGAATCATAGAATCATAGAATCATTGAGGTTGGAAAAGACCTCTAAGATCATCGAGTCCAACCGTCAACCCAACACCACCATGCCCACTAAACCATGTCCCTAAGCGCCTCATCTACACGTCTTTTAAATACCTCCAGGGATGGGGACTCCACCACTTCCCTGGGCAGCCTGTTCCAATGTTTCACCACTCTTTCAGTAAAGAAATTTTTCCTTACATCCAATCTAAACCTCCCCTGGCACAACTTGAGGCCATTTCCTCT